CCTGTTTAGCCCCAGGATCTAGCCTCCAATCCACGCACCCATCTATTTCCTAACCAAGTCTTATTCCTTCAGATCCATTCTCCCTCCTAGGGGTCTTTTAAAAACCCCAATTGTGCTGAAAACTTTTGGCACCTACTGCTGCTCCTCAGTAAGGTCCACGGTCTCCTTACAAGGAAGTCTGGCCACTGCCTGGGCTCTCTTTGCCCAGCCCAACCCCACCTGTCCCCTGGCAGCACAAAGGGTTGCTCCCTTCCTCCTCTGAGCTCCTCATCTCCAGGTGTCCCACCCCTGTCCTCGTTTAGCCCAGACACCTCCACTGCAACATTTGGAAGTATCAGTTCTTCCTGGGACCTTCCAGACTCTGCCAGCATCTTATCTGCCCTTCTTTTCATCCTTGTCCCTCCTGGATCCAAGCGTCCTTGGGGCAGAGACCAGACCTAACACAGCCCCTGGCAGTGAGAAGGGGCTGTGTTTAAATGTTAACAGAATGAATGAGCAGGTAGATGCATTATTTCAGGAGTTTCTTTGCCCTTGACCCTAGACTTATCTCCTTCAATTGCAGAGAAAGTGATTTTGTCACACCCAAGAAAGGCCACATCTTGGGGAGGAAGAACAGAAAGGTAGCTACCCTTCCTATCACTTAGGGCTCTCTTCCAGACCTCAGATCCCCTCAATGGCTAATCAGCCGGGTCCGGGCAGAGCCCATGCTATGCTGCGGCAGGAAGAGAAGCCTTGGCCAGCTCTCCTGGTAGCTCTGGGGAAGTTCTCACCTCACCTCCATTAGTCACTCAAACCTGTCCAATCTACTTCCAAACACCTCTCCAAGCCTCCCTCCTCATCACTGCATACCAGACGACGTCCACAGCCTGTGAGGTGGGCTCGCCGCCACCTGTTACTCTCTTTGTCCCTATAGTCCTTTTTCCCTGTCTCCCAGAAGTCTCTTAAAGGGTGGCAGAATGGAAACTCTGCAAAGGCAAGGATGGTATCTATTTTGCTTACTTGTGCAACACCTAATAAAGCACCTAGAACAAAGAATTCAGAAAAAAAAAAATCACATCCCCAAAAAGAATGCCAAGACAATACAATGGGGCAAAAATAATCCCAATAAATGGTGCTGCGACAAGGGGATATTCACATGCAAAAGAATGAAGTTGGATCCCTACCTTACTCCATCTACAAAAATTAACTCAAACTGGATCAAAGACCTAAACATAAGAGCTAAAACTACAAAATTCTTTTTTTTTTTTTAATTGCAATTTGGGTGAAAGCTTACAGAGCAAATTCACTTTCCACATAAACTTTGTCTTATGACACTGACTACAATTTACCTCTATGCAACAGTTCCCCTCCCACTTCCTCCCCATGGTTACCTCTTCCCTGCCCCCTTGAGCTGTCTCCCTGTGCATACACAGCCCTTCTTTCTCCCATGATTGTTGTCTCCAAGGAGTGTATCTACCTCAGGTAAATGTTCAACTCCTATGGCTATCTTTTGTTTGGCTGGAAGCCACAGGTGTGGGTTCAATTACAGACCTGAAGGGCAACTAAGGGCCATAGTATCAGTGGTTCCACCAGGCTCTATCAGACCAGCAAACCTGGTCCTCTTTTTTTTTTTTCTTTTCCAAATGATTCTGAGTATTGTTTCACATTATTCTCCCTCTCTATCCAGGATCTCCTACATAGATCCCTCTCTGAGTGGTTGATAAAACTACAAAATTCTGCAGAAGAAAACAGTCATAAATTTTCATGACTTGGATTAGGCAATAGCTTCTTAGATAAGAAACCAAAAGCACATTGCAAAAGAAAAACTAGATTAAAAAAAAAAACCCTAGATAAATTAGATGTCATCTAAGTTTAAACTCTTTGTGCTTCCAGGGACACCATATGAAAGTGAAAAGACAAACCACAGAATGAGAGAAAGTATTTGCAAATCATAGTTAAGAAAATTATATCTTGAATCGTATCTAAAGAACTCTTACTTCAATAATAAAAAGACAACCCAATTGAAAAATGAGCAAAGGATCTGAACAAACATTTCTCCAAAGAAGAGATACAAATGGCTTTGGAGGCAGTGAGTTTATGTTCATGGGGGAAATACAACTCAGAAAAGGAGGGTAAGTGTGGTGCAGTGAACTACTTAATATGGCCCTTCTAGCCGTGGTTTTTGTGACTCCCACCAGATGACCGGGTGGGACTATACAAATATGAGGTGCTTGTGGCCCACCAAGAGGACTGGATAGCTTGTTAATAATGTAAATAAGGCACATGGCACCTTTGTTGGGGGAGGGGACCATGCAAATAAGGTGTATGGTACACTAACATGGGTTTGGTCAGTTTTCCCTCTCCCGGGCTTAAAATGAGCCCTCCCAGAGATGGAAAGGGGGTAATCCCACTATCATCAAGAAAAAAAGCCAGGAGTATAGCACAAAGGGACCCAAGATCCCTGAACTGAACCTCCTCCACCCAGGGGACAGAGAGAGCTTTAACGCTTTGACGAGACAGAGAGAGATGGCAAGGAGCAGCAGCAGACCCTGGCAGCAGAGACCGGCACAAGACAGAGTGGCAGGCTTCCTGGCCCACGGAGTGAGAACACTGAGGGCCTTCAGGTAGGAGGCTTGCTGGCAAGAGTAGGGTGTTTTTCCGGCTACCTACCTGCAGAGCTAAAAGAGCTTTGTAACACTTACCCACGCAGGGCACAGGCCAAGGGGCCACAGGGCAAGAGGTCAAAGCAAGAGAAAAGTGTGCCTGCAGCATAGCTGAGAAGAGACTGTCCTGACTGAAGAACTATCTTGAGTCATGTGGGATCCTGGATTGTAACCTGTTACTTCCCTAATAAACCCCCTAACTGTGAGTATAGTCTATAAGTTCTGTGTGGCCATTGCAACAAATTATTGAACGCAGCAGAGAAGTAGAGAGAGCTATGGTGTCAGAATTGGCAAAAAGGTTGGAGTGTGGTGACATGTTTGACCTCTGCTTCATAGGAATCAGCTTTGGGCTGTTGACCTTGACCATCCTTCCCTGTTCTGAAGTTAAAGGAACTTAGATGCTGCCCCCATTCCCTTTTTGCAGTATGAATGGGTGCAAAACTCGATATAATCAATGTCACTCAATTATACATGTAGAAATGATTAAATTGATATATGTTTTGCTGTATTGTCAAAAACAACAAAGTAAAATAAAATAAATATCTGGTCATGAACGTTCATAGCAGCATTAATCATAAGAGTTAAAAATGATGACTGGATAAACAAATGTGGTCTATTCACACAGCGGAATACTATTTGGCCATGAAAAAGGAATGCAGTACTGATGCATGCTACAACATAGACACACCTTGAAGACATTATGCTAAGAAGCCAGTCATTAAAAGCTGCACCTTGTAGGATCCAATTTATATGAAATGTCCAGAACACGTAAGTGCAGACACAGAAAATAGACTACCTAGTTTTGTGTGTAGGGAGCTCTGGTGGTGTAGCACCTAAGGCATTTGACTGCTAACCAGAAGAATGGCAGTTCAAACCAACCAGCCACTCCTTGGAAGGAAGATTGGGCAATCTACTTCTGTAGTGATACTGCCTCAGAAACCCAAGGAGGGGTTGCTATGAGTTGAAATGACTCGACGGCAGTGAGTTTGGGTTTTTTTTGAGTTGTGTGGGTAGAGGGGAGGAATGAGGAGTGGGGAGTGGCTGTTAATGCATATGGGGTTTCTTTCTGAGGTGACAAAATGTTCTAAGATTTATTGTGGTGATGTTTCCAAACCTCTGTGAATATACTAAAAACCACTGAATTAAATGTACATTTTAAATGAATGAATTGTATGGTATTAGAGTTATAGTTCAATAAACTGTAAAATAAAAAAAAATCAAGCCCCTCCTTAAACCCTTCCATGGCTCCCACCTCCTTCTAGAGAAAGAGGAAATTCCTTAACTGTGGAGAAAAAGCCCTTGATGACCCTCTTCCTATCACCTGGCCTTCACACACTATCCAGCCATACAAACCCCAGCCCTTCCCATCTCTCCAGCACCTGCAGGCTTTTGTAGCTACTGTTCCTCCTGCCTGGAATGTTCTCTCATCCCCTGCCCCCCACTCTCCTCTAATTCTTACCCGTCCTACGGGTCTCAGCTTAAAGGACAACACCTCTGGGGGTCCCTTCTCTGACAGAAAGCCCCTCCCACCCCCACCAATTGAGTTAGGTGCCCCTCTTCTGTGCTCCCAGAGCACATAATGAAACAACATCACCACCACCAGCTCTCAGGACTGTGCACATGCCGTGTGAAGGCCCTGAGCTGGCCCTTATATGCACTCCTTCATGCCATTCTCACAGCAATGAGGTAGGGAACAATATTCCCATTTGACAGATAAGTAAACTAAGGCACAGAACTAAGTGGCCTGCCCTGGTCACAGCTAGTAGGTGGCAATGCTAACTGTGGAACTCACATCTATGAGAGTACAGGGTGTGCTCTCTTCACCCCTGTGCTGTTACTCATTGTGTCCTGGTTCCCTGATCACTGCAATAGCCACTACTTCGTATTCACGGTTCATCTCCACTACCGGACTGTCAAAGCTCAAGAGGCTGATGCAACCCAGCCCTTTCCATCCTCTATGTGCAACCCAGAGCAAGTTACTTAAACTCTCTAGGTTTCGGTTCCTTCATCCATAAAATTGGGTTAGTGATGTAATAGTTTCTATTTTGCAGGGTTGTTATGAAGATTAAATGAAGTTAAAACATGTCAAGAGCTTAGCACTGAGGCTGGTACATAGTAGGCACTCAATAAATAGTAGCAAGTTATCATTATTGTCCCTGTAGCCACATGGCCCAGCACAAGGCCTGGTCTATGGTGGGGCTCAGTGCAGGTGGCTCCTACATGGGTGGAAGCAGTCCACACATCCTCAGCCCTAGAGAGGCCCAGGGCCAGCCAGGAAGCCCCTCCTCTGCACAGTACCCATAGCCATCACCCTACACCCACCCTCTGCCCTGGTCCCGCCACCCTGGTGCTACTCACGGGAAGGTAGATCCAGCAAAGCAGAAAATAGAGATCAAACCTAGGCCCACGCTGGCCTCATCCCAGCCGTCCTTGGCACATTCACCAAACACATCCCATATCCACTGGCGGGAGCCATTGGGGCAGTTGGAGAAGTTGCCAGAGCCCAGTTTCTTCCACGTCATGGCTGTGGAGGAGGGTTTCCAGCCCGGGAGGTCTGTTCAGGAAAGGCACTGGTGCACTGAGGCAGGTGAGGGCTCTACGGGTAGGAAGAGAGGAAGCTTTCAGCCTTGGGAGGTCTGGGTTCTATTTATGGTCCCCAACGGAAGTCCCTCCCCAGCCTTATCACCCAGCACTGATGGAGCCTCTGAACCAAAGGGGGAAAAAGACACAGTCCTCACCCACAGCCAGCCTTACAGGAAGAGCTCAAACAAACATGCCAACCACACAAGCAGGAGCAGAAAGAATGTGGATCTGTGGCCAGGGGGCCAAAAAAAAAACCAAATCCACTGCCACTGATTCTGACTCACAGCAACCCATGTGTTCTAGAGTAGACTGTGCACCACAGGATTTTCAAGGCGGGGATTTTTGGAAGCAAATTGCCAGGCCTTTCTTCCATATTTCTGCTGGGTGGGTTGGAACTGCCAACCTTTAGGTTAGTAGCTGAGAATAAACCACTTGTGCCACTCAGGGACCTGTGGTCAGAGACAAGAGTGCTCAAACCCCAGCTTCAGCAGGTTAACACTGCAGCTTTGGGCAGGTGACTCAACATCTCTGTGCTTCAGTGCCTTCATCGCTAAAATGAGATGATCACAGTGCCTCTCCTTCATAGGGCTGCTGCAAGGATTAAGTGAGTTTATCAATATAGTCCATTGACTGAGCCCTCAGGCCACCTTTTCTTATAACTCTTGAACATTTAGGCTGCTTCCAAATGTTTGTTATTGTAAATGGTGCTGTGTAGGTCTGCTGAGGTCAGGCCCATTAAGTACACAAGCTCATTTGATACCTCCTCAAAATAGGGTTGTCCCCATTGGCCAAACGATGCCAGTGAAGAATCAGGACCAAGTGATTCCTGGGCTTGCACAGGTGGGCTGGGATTCAAGCTTGGGGCAGCCGGATGCTCAAGTCTGTATTCTCCACCAAAGCAATAGTTCATGGGGTGAGCAAGACAGCTGCCAGCAAGGGTCCAGAACCACCTCCTCATCCTCACCACCCACCACTGACACAAGCCAGACTATGGCTGATTGCAGGTAAACAGGGAAGCCCATCCTGGTGTTTGGGACCCTGGACAGTGACTGCCTATGTGAAGACCCTAGAGAAGGGGACACACTGGAGCCAGGCTGGAGCCATCTCTCTCAGGTGATAAAAATCACCACCCCAGATTACTGAGCTCTTTGCCAGCTCTGTGCTAAGCATCTTCCATGGATCCATGCATTTAGTCCTCACGTCAACTCTAAGAAGTAGTGCTACTGATATATTCTCCTTGTCTGGACCACCCAGCCAGAAAGCAGCAGAACCAGGAGTCAAGCCCAGCTAGCTCAGGCCCCTGCACAGACCTATTCTGCCCTGCAGCCTTCACGGCTTGGTCCCTGGGCATAGTGGAAACCTCCCATGGTTGGGCACATCTGCCCAGCTTGTTGCAGAGCTAGCTAGCAGGCTTTCCCTTTTCTCACTGTGCTCAGAGGGAGTTTCCTCATCCGACTGAGACTCTTTCCAGCCACTTTCAATTCTTGTTTCAGTTTCAGGCGATCTGGGCCCCTCAAAAAGCAATGCCCAGGCTAGACCTGCAGAACTGCTGAGGTTGCAGCAACCAGGAAGCATTGGGGAGGGAGAGGAAGCTGGTCAGCTGCTTCTCCCAGGAAGCTCTGGACTCTCAGTCCAATGTGACCAGCACACAGGACAGAGAGGCCCTGGTGCTGGGACACAGGTACCCCAAGCCTGATGACTATCTGCCAGGGTCCCTGCAGTACAGGGTGGCTGAAAGCCTCTTCTTGCATCTTGGTGACCCACTACAATGACCATCAGTATCCCTGATGTGGGGAGAGTTCATTTGACATCCTGACACCAATGCCTGCAAAACCACCTGCACTGACATGCAATCCCAGAGAGAACGGTATCTTAGCAAGGCCCATGCCATTTCAAAATAAGTCCTTTTGTTCCCCAGCCCACTTCCCGACTGTCCTCTTGTAGATGCTAAAAATGCCACTGCAGGTCACCATGGTAGCACACTCACCCTCACTTTTCCCTTGCAAGGCTGGGAATACTGCTCCCATTTTACAGATTAAGAACTGAGACTCAAAGAGGCTAAGTTACTAGAAATGGACTATGAATCTAACTCTGTTTAAAACCAAATCTAATGTCGTTTCACTCCCAACCTTGGCCTACATGAGTGAGCATGGCTATGTTCTCCAGATTTTGTATTGGATGCCCAAAAACTAAACCCACTGCCATCATATTGATTCCAACTCATAGCAACCCTATGGGACAGAACAGAATTGTCCCATAGGGTTTCCCAGGCTGTAATTTTTATGGGAGCAGACTGCTTCATCTTTCTCCCATGGAGTGACTGGTGGGTTCAAACCACCAACTTTTTGTTTAGCAGCTGAATGCCTTAACCACTGTGCCACCAGAGCTCCCTGTGTTGCACACAGCTGTTATTTAAAAAAAAAAAAAAATTGCAAACTTTTGTCTTAGTGTTCACCATGTCTGTCTAGAGGGAGGATTTCAGGCTTGTACTTAGACCAGATTGCCTGTGGCCAGCCCCCAAGTTTGAGTGACTTTAGCCAAGTAAATTAATCTGTCTGAGCCTGTCTGTAAAATGGGGGTAATGACACTAACTCCTTGGAGAGGCTATGCAGATAAAAGGCACATAAAGCTCTCAGCCCAGTGTCTGACATAAGAAATGGTGTGACTATCTTCAGGATGGGAGTCCAATATCTCAACCACCCTGATGCCTGTCTCTCACCCTGTTTTTTTACCAAGTTACAGAGGAAGTGAAGTGGACATATGTCCAGTTGAGAAGGATGGGTCTTGAGGAGTGTATCTTGGCTTACAGGCCCAGAGGACTGAGTGGGCAGCCTCTCGTCCTTGGACAGGCACTGAATACAGTTGGGGCTCAGGGCATTTGAGACATGTCTGAGCCTGAACTGAGGGGACTTCCTCTGAGGGCTGCTGAGCATAGGGCCACTCACCTGTAGAAGCTATTCCAAGTGGGGAGCCTGAAACCTAGGACTAGCTTCTGGGAATGGGCCCACCTCTTTGTCTAACACCACTGAGTGGATGGATGTCCAGGGTCACAGCAAAGCTTGACCTCATTCAGCCTTGGAATCCTGGGGAGGTTGGAGGGGGTTGCTAAAATCCAGTATCAGTGCACCTGGGCTGGGTTCAGAGATCCTGAGCTGAAGAAGGCCCCAGCTGATTCTAATGCACCTGGCCATACTTTGGGAAATGCTGGATTGGAGACGGCATCCCCTGCCAAACTCTAGTTTCTCTCCAAAATTCCAAGCTCCCAAGCTGAGTCAGGGAGACAGCTACCCACTGAAGCTGACCAAATCTCCAGCTTACAAGGCTTCCATGTCATTCCTTTGACTATAGGATTCAGCACAAATTCCCCAAGGTACTTTAAGAATTGTATTCCTAATCTCATCTTCTCCATCTGTCTCTAGATTCTCAGGCAGGCATTTTCAGGCCTCCAGGGACATACTTCTCTTCCTTTTGAAGTGTCCCTGTCCTTCGAGGATCTGATGAAGAGACACCAGGATCCACTTTTAAATTACCTTCAAGAACCTTTCAAGAGCCTACCAGACAAGACTTGCCACCTCCTGCCCTCCCTTCATCCCCATACCCAAAGAATGCTTCTCACAGTCCTCAGCAGCCATTAATCTTCCTTTCCCCCTGCCTGTAAACGTGTTATTCTCATGGTCTAGACATGCCAGGTGCCCAGGAAAGGTCTAGAAAATGTAGAAAGACAGAGATTGATTTAATTATGAGTTCTAATGGCTTATGGTTAAAAAAAAAAAAGCATCCTGCAACTCATCTGCCTGATGCCTACTAAGCTCCTGGGCAAGTGACTGAGCCTCGGCGTTCTCATCTGTAAAATGGGGAAATGTAGTACAGTACCCTCCTCCTAGGCTGATTACAGAGGTAAATGGGATAATCCAGGCCAAGCGTTTAGAACGGTGCCTGGCATGGGGTAAATGCTCCATACCCCAGAGTGGCTCTAGTCCTGTTCTTACTGTAGCCCTCATGGGGTCCCTGGCACACAGTGGTTTTCACGAAGTGTTGAATGGATAAGACCTGCTAACCCCGGCCAGTCCTCATACTTCCAAACCCAAGTCACCCCAGACTCCCCATGTACACACTTGGGAATCTGCCTTAGACATTGGGGGCAGAGGGGGGGAGAAGACGTGACAATGCGGCTCTATTCCCTGCAGACCTGGTGAGTACCTGGAGGGGCGGAGCATCCTGGCTTGGGCATACCACCCTCACCAGACCTCCATGTCCAGGGCAACAACTTCCTCCTCATGACTCAGCCCAGCGCGGGTAGCCTGTTTGGCGAGGATAATAACAGGGCAGTCGCTGGGGCCTGCGGCTCGATCCCGCAGGGCCCGCCCAGGAGAAAACAAAGCCCTCAGAAATGAAGGGGCTCGTCGGCCCCGACCAGGAGGTGAAAGGGGGCCCAAGCCTAATCCCTGGCCAGGGCGGGCCGAGAGGACGTGCTGGTCGCCCCTGGGGTGGGGCCGGTAGGGACTTGGGCCCTTGAGGACCACCTACCCCGGATCCAGGGCCTCGCCCCAGGATCTCGCGCCAGAAGGAAGGAACAGGAGCTGTGGGAAGGTTCAGAGGAGAGGCCGAAGATGTTGGAAAGATGTAGCAGGAAAGCCCAAAAGTGCCGACCCTCTAGGCTTCGGGTTTGCCCCGGCCCCCAGACCAGCTCACCACGTCGAGATCAGCGGCCAGAGCCAGGCTTCTCGGTTCAGTTCCCACTCCTCGGGTCACCTGACCCGAGCTGTCGCCGCCGCTCCGCCCCGGGAGCCACCTCCCCGGGCTCCGCCTCTCACGCAGCGCAGTTGCCAGACGGTCCCTCGAGACTTAGCGCAAGCGCGCAAAGAGTGTCTGTGCGTGGGGGTGCGCTGCCTTCCTTGCCCTCGTTCCCTTATCATTATCTGTACCTCCGCCTAGGCCGCTGCTGGGCGGGGCCTGAGGCTCCCCAGCGCGCAGGCGCCATCCTCTTGTTGAGTGCTGCGTCCTGGGCTGTGGTTTACGCCGTCGTGAGTTGCGCGTGTCGCTCTTCGCTTCTCGAGCCTCGTACGGTCGCGATGGCAGGGCCGCCGCTGCGGGCCGCCTCGGGCGCCCTGGTCCGACCAGCCACTGTGCTGGGCACCATGGAGATGGGGCGCCGCATGGACGCATCCGCCAGTGCCGCGGCCGTGGGCTTCTTCCTGGAGCGCGGCCACACGGAGCTGGACACGGCCTTCATGTACTGCGACGGCCAGTCCGAGAGCATCTTGGGCGGTCTGGGGCTCCGGCTGGGTGGCGGCGACTACAAAGGTAACGCCTGGAGCCAGCCTTAGACCCCTGACCTCCCGGCCGGTCGGACGCTGACCCGTCGTCCTCCCAGGACACCGCTTCAGGGCAACCCTGCAGCTCCATGAACCCCAAGTTTCGTGCATATCCAGCACCATACAACTGGACGATGCTTTAGCCTGACCACTTCTCCCTCACTCCCTCTGGGAGTGCAGCCTGGAACTCTCAGTCCCACCCCCCAAGTCTGAACTAGCCTTTCTCTTCCTACCCCCTTGCTTCCTTAGTACACCCCTCGATTCCAGCTGTCAGGTGCCCGTACTGATCCCCAGTTGTCCTCAAAGGCGCATGCACCTCCTGAGCACCCTTTCCAGTAAAGTCTTTGCAATGGGTGGGAGATCCGTCCCTTTCTTTTCTCATCTTGGCCTTTCACCAGTCCCTAGACTTTGCCCTCCTTCGTTGTCAGTACCTCTAGCTCTTTCTGGGAGAGCTGTAATGATCCCTGTCCGGGCTGGGGTGTAAGGATGTCATGATGGGACGATGGGGGGCGGGGCGCATGAATAGAGGGAAATACCTTTCTGTCTGTTGTGTGTTAGGCTTTGTCATGGGCTGTAGGAGGAAAGGTTCTAGGTTCCAAGATATTGGCTGCTAACTGAAAGGTATGTGGTTCAAGTACACCCGGACATGCCTCAGAAGAAAGGGCTGGTGGTCATTGAAAATCCTATGGTGCACAGTTCTACTCTGCTACACATGAGGTCACCATAAGTTGGAGTCAATTCAATGGCAACTGGTCACAGGTGGGAAAGTGATTCTAACCCACCCCCAGGGAGCTCAGCATCTAGTAGAGAAGATAGAAGCAAATGGTTGCTGGAGACCCAGACAAGGGAGCACTTCTTGGGTGTGGGGGGACAGGGAGAAGCATCAGGAAAGGCTTCTCAAGGGAAGAGTACACTGATTAAAGGATCAATGGCAGTTTGCTGGGTGGAGAAAGAAAAGGGCATTAGAGGCTGAGGGCACAGCTGTGCAAAGACTTGGCTTAGAAATGCAAACTGCATGGTGTGTGGAAGGAAGGCCAGAAAACTGCTGTGGCTGGAATGGAGAATTGGACAGGGAATAACTGTCCCTCAGTAGCTGATGCAATTGGAAGAGCTTAGGACAGCCCCGGGCACAGTGTTGTTGTTGTTATGTGCCTCGAGTCAACCCGACTCCTAGTGACCCCTTCTTGGGTTTCCAAGGCGGTATCACTGCAGAAGTAGATTGTCCAACCTTCCTTCTGAGGAGTGGCTGGTAGGTTTGAACCACCAGCCTTCTGGTTAGCAGTCAAGTGCCTTAGGCACTATGCTACCAGAGCTCCAAGTGCCTAGTAAATGTTGTTGTTGTTTGCCATCGAGTCGGCCCCGACTCATAGCGACCCCTCCTTGGGTTTCCGAGTCAGTATCACTATGGAAGTAAGATTGCCCCATCTTCCTTCCGAGGAGTGGCTGGTGGGTTTGAACCGCCAGCCTTCTGGTTAGCAGGCAAGTGCCTTAGCCACTATGCTACCAGAGCTCCTTAGTAAACATTAGCTATCAGTTATCATTTTTACCATACCTTGCCTGTTCTTTCTCATCTTCCTCTTATCTTTGTAAGGAGCTCTGGTGGTACAGTGGTTAAGGCATTTGACTGCTAATCAGAAGGTCAGTGTCTCAAACCCACCAGCCTCTCCACAGAGAAAAGATGAGGTAGTCTGCTTCTGTAAAGATTTATAGCCTTGGATATCCAAGAGTCAGAATCAACTAAATGGCAGTGAGTTTGATTTTTCTTGGTTTTCTCATCCCTGTAGGAGAGATCTTCTCTGGGTCCTCCTTGGATCCACAGCTTGGTAGATCTGGAAGAACAGAATGGCCCACATTCTTCTCAGTCATCTGACTGTCTCTTAATGAGGAAGATTCTACTTCAGAATTGGTTTTTCTTCTCCAGCCCTTTCTTGTTTTCTTCTTTGAAAGAAGACTCACTGGGCCAAAGTCCTTAGATAAGGTCAGAGGCAAAGTTCACACCAAGAAAAGGTAGACGTGGGAGAATGAAGCAAATATAGACAAGAAACTAATCCCCCTCTGGCCCTTTGAGGTGACTTTGTCATGCATAAAAAGTACACACCTCCTCTCATCCATTGATTCAGACAGCTAGGATTCTGTTTAGCGGAAGGAAAGTTTCTCTGATAAACCTCAATCCTCAAGCTCCTTGGACAGAAGAACACTATCTTATTCTCAGAGGCATTGTGTCTCTGCAGGAGTATGTGTGCGTGCTTCTTGTTGTGTTATGTACCGTCGAGTCAGACCCGACTCATAGCAACCCCTCCTTGGGTTTCCAAGGCAGTATCACTACGGAAGTAGATTGCCCAACCTTCCTTCTGAGGAGTGGCTGGTGGGTTTGAACTGCCAGCCTTCTGGTTAGCAGTCAAATGCCTTAGGCGCTATGCTACCAGAGCTCCCACTCTCAGCATATCACCCTTCTGGTTAGCAGTCAAGTGCCTTAGGCGCTATGCTACCAGAGCTCCCACCTCTGTAAGTCTACAAGGGGAGGGGGGCACTGCGATTACCTTCTGCTCATGTTGCTTTCAAACTCTCTCAAATTTGTCTGTCAGTGGCCCAAGATAAGGTGACTGTTGTTGTTGTTGTCGTCGTCGTCGTGTGCCATCAAGTGTGCCATCAAGTCGGCCCCGACTCATAGTGACCCCTCCTTGGGTTTCCGAGGCAGTATCACTACGGAAGTAGGATTGCCCAACCTTCCTTCCAAGGAGTGGCTGGTGGGTTTGAACCGCCAGCCTTCTGGTTAGCAGTCAAGTGCTTTAGCCACTATGCTACCAGAGCTCCTAGATAAGGTGACTGCTCTCCTGAATTCCTGCAATAACCTCTTTACCAATCTCCTTGCTTCCAAGCCTGCCCTCTTCAGTTCATTCTCTGCACTGCAGTCAGGGTAAATTTATAACTACATAGCTGACCAGTCCATGCCCTGATTTAAAACCTTTAAGTGGTTTCTGTGGCCTTCATGGTTAAGTCCAGATTCAGTAGGGTGGTATTTGAGACCCTTTGGGATCAGGTATGTGCCTCCCTTCATTTATTTCATGACCTGCCATCTTCTGCTTTGGAGTTTATGCTCCCATAACACAAAATTAGGAGCTTTGGTGGTTGTGCCTAAGGCATTTGACTGCTAACCCGAAGGCTTGCGGTTCAAACCCACCAACCACTCCTCGGAAGGAAGGTTGGGTAATCTACTTCCGTAGTGATACCACTTGTGGAAACCCAAGGAGGGGTCGCTATGAGTTGGATCCGACTTGACGGCAGTGATTTTGGTTTAACACAGAATTGCTGGTGTGGCTTCTTGCATACTGTGTTGTTCCTGCCTCTGTGGCTTTGCCCATGTTCTCATGGCTTTGGAATGCACTTCCCACCTTTCCTGTTGGCTCTGACTCTTAGAGATTCAGCTGGGGGATTTCTCCTGTGGGAAGCCATTCCTGGAATTCCCAGGTAGGCCTCACACCTCCCTGTAGGGCTCCTTTAGCACCTTGTACATTTCTCTGCTGCACTTACATACTGTGTACCCTACAGACCCTGAGCTTCCTGAGGTAGGGATCTAGTGTGCTCAGTTTATCTGTGTACTCAGCCCCTAGTGCACAGCCTGGACAGCCAGCAACCTGGTGATTAATAATGGTGATTATGATAGCGGTAAGTATTGGGCTTTGCATGTAAGACATCAGTTAAACCTCATGACCTCCCTAGGAGGACAGTTCCATTATTTCCCCCATTTTACACATTAGAGAATTAAGGCTCAGGGAATGTAAGTAATTTAGCCAGAGTCACATGGGTACTAAGTGATTTTAATAAATCTCTTAACTATCATACTCTTCCTCCAAGTGAAAATTGCCACTAAGGCCAACCCTTGGGATGGGAAGTCGCTGAAGCCTGACAGTCTCCAGTCCCAGCTGGAGACGTCACTGAAGCGGCTGCAGTGCACCCAGGTGGACCTCTTCTACCTACATGCGCCCGACCACAACACCCCCATAGAGGAAACACTTCGCGCCTGCCACCAGCTGCACCAGGAGGTGAGGGTGGCCACCTGAGCTCCAGGAGGTGTCTGCTGCTCTTTCCTTTGGCTTGTCAGTACCCAAGAGAATGGAGGCACCAAGGCAGTCCCAGGGGAGCTGGGCACAGACCCCATGCTCATCCCTTCCTCCTGGGCTGCGGCGGCTTCTGACCGCGGCCTCTCTCCTCCAGGGCAAGTTTGTGGAGCTTGGTCTCTCCAACTATGCGTCCTGGGAGGTGGCTGAGATCTGTACCCTCTGCAAGAGCCACGGCTGGATCCTGCCAACAGTGTACCAGGTGAGAGCAGGGCCCAGAAGCCTTATCTCCAGGGGTTCTCTTGGCCCCTCTGAATGACCCAGGGACCTCTGTATAGCAGCCCCTCCCTTGCTTAAGTCTGTGGAGGCTCGTGTGGCCCTCAGGTTAAAGTCTGAGCTCCTCAGCCTGGCAGACAGGCATCTGCGTGCTCCAGCGCCACCTCCCTTTCCTGCCTCAGTGCTCACCTTGGTCCCTTCCTTCCCACCTCCTGCTGCACTTCAGCCTGGAGCAGCTTCCAGTCTTCAACACCTTTTCATACATTCTGCAAGTGTTTTTGAGTACCTACTATGATCATAGAATTTAACTTGACTATAACACCTCTTAAGGAGCTCGGGTGGCATAGTGGCTAAGGCATTTGACTGCTAACTGGGGAAGGTTGGTGGTTCAAACCCACCAGCCACTCTGTGGAAGGAAGACTGGGCAATCTACCACCACCTCTGAAACCCAAGTGGGGGGTCACTATGAGTTGGAATCAACTCAGTGGCGGTGAGTTTGATTTTATAACATCTCTTGGCAGAGACCTTGTCACCAGCACCCGGGATACTGATTCCTTCACCAGAGACACTGCTGACAGTGTCACTGGTTTGAAATCCAGTGTCCATTCCCAAATCGGTGCTCACAGATACCTGCGGAATGACACATCTAGTCCAGTTTCTCTTCCTTGGGCCCAACACTCTCTCCTCATCCCCTACCACCACTAGTAATGTTTTTTGTTATAAATTTTATTATTTGTTTGATGAAAATATACAAAGCAAAACATATACCAGTTCAACAATTTCCACATGTACTATTCAGTTACATTGATTACATTCAAGTTGTGCAACCACACCACTAGCAATTTTAGAAATAATTACTGAAGTCCTGGGCAAGTTTTGGCTGAGGGGTCTATAAAAGTAGGGCTGGGGTCCATCTCTTGATACATCCATCCTCTCCAGCTGGCCCCTCTACCTGCAGGGCATGTACAACGCCACCACGCGACAAGTGGAAACAGAACTCTTTCCCTGCCTCAAGCACTTTGGATTGAGGTTCTATGCCTACAACCCTTTGGCTGGTATGGCTACTGCGGGCACAGTCTCTCCTCCTGGGGTGGGAGGGCATTCCTGGCCCCATCTCTGTTCCTGACCCAGTGGGTATGCAGCCCAGGACCTAGGAAGCAGGGAGGAGTTCAACAGGAGGCTTGGCCGTGTCCTCCATTCCTTCTTGTTCCCCACTGTCCCCCAGTCCAGAGCCATCAGAAATCTTCTGCTTCTCTGGGAGCAGTCTGGCCAGGGGACTGATTGCAGCCTTCTTGCAGGGGGTCTGCTGACTGGCAAGTACAAGTACGAGGATAAGGATGGGAAACAGCCTGTGGGCCGCTTCTTTGGCAATAGTTGGGCTGAGACCTACAGGAATCGGTAAGCAGGGATATCTGCATCAGGATGCATGGGGGTCCCTTCTTCTGACTTGGAGAAGGTCTAAGCTGCTTTCCTAGGGCACCAGGCCTACAACTCTTGCTTCCTGTAGGAATTACCAAACTACTGGTGGGATTTCTTCTCCTTTTTGGGGCAATGAAGATCCCTAGACCTATCCTAAGGGTGCCAAGCCATAGATCTACCCTGAGAAGTGCATGTCACTGGCCAAGAGGGAAAGGAAGAGCCTGGATTGAGCCTGGGCTTAGTCCTGCCACTTGTGTAGCTACCTTTGTTTCACTAGGAAAATAAGGGCAGATTTTAGAAATTCTTAGTAGTAAAGATGTCAGCAGTGTCTCTGGTGAAGGAATCAGTATCCTAGGTGCTTCTGATACCCCAAAATTAGGAGAACCACTGCTAGAGAGGACACTGGCCCTTTAGTGCTGTAGGGTTTGGGGGAGAGCAGCTGCCCTGGTTGGCTCTTTGGCTATGGTCCCCAAGGTGACCCCCATGGTACTGACTTCAGTAATGCTCTTTCTACCTGCCCAGCTTCTGGAAGGAGCACCACTTCAAGGGCATTGCCCTGGTGGAGAAGGCCCTGCAGGCTGCTTACGGACCCAGTGTCCCCAGTATGACCTCGGCGGCCCTACGCTGGATATACCACCACTCCCAGCTCCAGGTACGACAACAATCCCTGGATGCTTAACTTCTGCTCTTTTAGGGAAGCCAGAAGCACCTTTACTTGGTGATTTCTAGACAGTTTTAACTTTTCTTCGGAAGTTTCTCTCAGTTGTAGTTCTCGTGAGCAGTCCTCCTATTATTATTAGCAATTATTTAAGGACCTGGCTCTGTGATAAAGGCTTTATTACAAATTTGGACTTAATTACAACTTAGGCCTTATGAAGTATGATTATTGGAATTTTGCCAGTGAGGAAACTGGGGTCCACACAGCTATTAAGGGGTAGAAAATTTAACACAATTTTAATTCCAGAACCCACTATTCTCACTCTTCTGTCTGTAGGGACTTGGGGGTTTTGCCTCTCTCTTGGTGTCCAGGTTTTCTCCAGCTTCAGCCTTACACAGTTCAGTAGTGTCTGGCATATAGTAGGTGCTCAATAAATGGCATCTATGTGCTTTACATAACTTTTAATTCCCATCACCATCTTGCCAATAGAGAAGAAGATTGAGTCTCAGAGAGGTTAAGTCACTATGTTAAGTTTACACAGCTGCTGAGGGGAAGAACTAGGCTCTGAACTCAAGTTTGTGTGTGGATGAGGCAATATTTCAGCAGAGAGAAAGAGTGAAGGATTTAGAACCACATAGCTCCAACTGTTGAAGGTACCTTAAATTCCTTCTGGAACTATGTAGGGTATAAATAAACACCAGATCCTATGTCTTGGCAGAGTAAAGCTGGGCGGGAGTGGTGTATGACTGGGGTCACTGTGCAGAAGTGTGTTGAGGTCTGGCCATCTTCCCTTGCAGGGTGCCCACGGGGATGCGGTCATCCTGGGTATGTCCAGCCTGGAGCAGCTGGAGCAGAACTTGGCAGCAACTGAGGAAGGGCCCCTGGAGCCTGCTGTCGTCGATGCCTTTGATCAAGCCTGGCACCTGGTTGCCCATGAATGTCCCAACTACTTTCGCTAGTACCCAACATGTCTCAAGCTGGCAAAAGACTTCTTTCTGGTCTGTCACCTCTTCATTCCCTCACTGTGGCCAGTCTTTGCCTCAAGCTGACTTAACATGGTTTTTCCTAATTGTCTTGAACCACACATTATTTTTTTCTAGATTCCTTTCTTTCTCTCTGTTGCCTTCACATTGTATAAAGACTGGCACTGAGCTCTACTCAGGTGTTTCCTGTCTGAATAAAGTAGACACTTGGCCTGTCTATAACCCAGGTCTGGAGTGAACTCCAGGAACTTGTCTCCTCTGCTCCTTTAAACGTGTGTCCCATCCTGCCTAGGGGCTTGCTGAGAAAGGGGCAGAACTGTGAGCTGGAGCCTTCAAAGGGCAGGGGCAGTGGAGGGTCTCAGGGGCACATTACCCTTGTAAGGATCTCCTCAGTGCCTTGTCTTGAATCCAGCCAGACCTCTCAACAGTGAGGCCTGACATAACTCTCCTTCTTCTGAGTAAGACAGAAAAAAAGAAGTCATATACCCTGAGGTAGACTTTCCTCATTCAGAAATGCCCTCACTAATACTTAGAAATAAATAATTTGGACAGAAATTAGACCTATCACCGAGAAGAATCAAACCTCTCAAGTGTCTGTGGAACATGTTTAGTTCTTCTGCTCACTCTCAAAGGAGTTCTGATGGTACAATGGTTAAAGCACTTGGCTGCTAACCAAAAGGTCATTGCTTTGAACCTACCACCCATCCTGCAGGAGAGATATCAGACAGTCTCCTCCCATAAAGATTTACAGCCTTGGAAACCCTATGGGGCAGTTTTCTGTAGGGTCACTAATTCAGAATCGACGGCAATGCGTTTGGTTTGGTTTTGGACTCACTCTCAACTCCAGCAGTGGTTTTATTCTTATCTTAGTTAAAGCTTCCTGTCTTTTTATCATTCATAAGATTCTCAGACTTGGCTCTGGGCCTCCTCCGGTTGGGAGGAAGGGTGCTCATTTCCCTCAGCAATTCCCTCAAGCATGAGGTACCCAAGCCTGGAGCAGAAAAGAAATCTGGGGTCAGGTACTTCCTGTTTACCATTCCCAGTGCAGTAAAGTCAGACTGGCTCTGGGTGAGGAGTGGGGCACACAACAGCCAGCCCTTGGAGAGTCTCAAAATGATCAAAGGGGCTTGGCCTGGAGATCCCGACAAAAGCACAAATCCAAAAGACTGCACTAACAAAAGTCCCATTTGCTATTTAAGAGGCAGGTAACCTGTAAACACCAAACAAACTCACTGTCGTCAAGTCAGTTCTGACTCATAGTGCCCTCTCCTTGGGTTTCCAAGGTAGTATCTCTGGAAGTAGATTGCCCAGTCTTCCTTCTGATGAGTGGCTTGTGGGTTTGCACTGCCAGCCATCTGGTTAGCAGTTTTCTATAGGGTTGCTAATTCAGAATCAACAGTAATGGGTTTGACATTATGCTACCAGAGCTCCCAGATAACCTATAGGCAATATTTTACACTTTATAGAAGTCATCTTCCTTTGTCTACATCCATAGCAAAAGGAATACTCCCTTAACAGGGATGGTGTATCATTTATTGTTGCACAGTAAGCCACCCTGCCATGAAAGACAAAATACGACCTTGAATATATCCCTCCTGAATTCAGAGGCCATCTAAAGAATAGATTTGATACATTGAACACCAGTGACCGAAAACCAGAATTGTGGGGTGACATCAAGAACATCACCCATGAAGAAAGCAAGAGGTCACTAAAAAGATGAGAAGACAAGACCAAAATGGATGTCAGAAGAGACTCTGAAACTTGCCCTTGAGTGGAGAGTAGCTAAAGCAAATGGAAGAAATGACAAGATAACAGAGCTGAACAGAAGATTTCAAAGAGCAGCTCAAGTAGACAAAGCCAATTACTATAATGAAATGTGCAAAGACCTGGAATTAGAAAACCCAAAGGGAAGAACATGCTCAGCATTTCTCAGGCTGAAAGAACTAAGGAAAAAATTTAAGCCTCGAGTTGCAATATTGAAAGATTCTGTGGGTAAAACATTGAATGGTATGGGAAGTATCAAAAGAACATGGAAGTAATACACAGAGTCACTGTACCAAAAAGAACTGGTAGATCTTCATTTCAGGAGGATCCATATGTTCAAGAACCAATTATACTGAAGGAAGAAGTTGAAGCTGCACTGGAGGAATTGGTGAAGAACAAGGCTCCAGGAATTGACAGAATACCCATTGAGATGTTTCATCAGATGCCCCACTGGAGGCACTCATTCAGTTATGCCAAGAGATTTGGAAGGCAGCTACCTGGCCAACTGACTAGAAGAGATCCATATTTGTACCCATTCCAAAGAAAGGTGATCCCACAGAATGTGGAAATTATCAAACAATATCATTAATATTGCATGCAAGTAAAATCTTACTGAAAATAATTCAAAATGGTTGCAGCGGTATATTGGCAGAGAACTTCCAGAAATGCAAGTTGGATTCAGAAGAGGACATGGAACAAGGGATATCATTGCTGATGTCAGAGGGATCTTGGCTCAAAGCAAAGAATACCAGAAAGATGTTTACTTGTGTTTTATGGACTATGCAAAAGCATTTGATTGTGTGTATCATAACAAATTGTGCCTAGCATTGAGAAGAATGGGAATTCCAGAACACTTGATTGTGCTCATGAGGAACCTGTACTTAGACCAGGAGGCTGTGGCTGTCATTCAAATAGAATAAGGGGACACTGCACAGTTTACATTCAGGAAGGGAGTGTGTCAGGGTTGTATCCTTTCACCATACTTACTCAATCTGTATGCTGAGCAAATAATACGAGAAGCTGGACTAGATGAAGAAGAATGTGGCATCAAGATTGGAGGAAGAATCATTAACAACCTGCAATATGCTGATGACACAACTTTACTTGCTGAAAGTGAGGATGACTTAAGCACTTCCTGATGAAGATTCGAGAATACAATCTGCAGTTTGGATTACATCTCAAAAAAAAAGAAAACAAAAATCCTCACAACTGGACCTATAAGCAGCATCACGATAAATGGAGAAAAGATTGAAATTGTCGAAGACTTCACATTGCTTGGTTCTACAATCAACGCCAATGGAAGCAGCAGTCAGGACATCAGATGACGTATAGCACTGGGCAAGTTGACTACAAAGACCTCTTTCAAGTGCTGAAGAGCAAAGATGTCTCCTTGAGGACTAAGGTGCACCTGACACAAGCCATGGTATGTATTTTCAGTTGCTTCATATGCATGTGAGAGCTGGACAATGAATAAGGAAGAACAAAGAAGAATTGATGCTTTTCAGTTGTGCTGGTGAAGAATGTTGAAAGTACCATAGACTGCTAAAAGAACTAACAGATCTGTCCTGGAGGAAGTGGAGCCGGAATGCTCCTTGGAGGCAAGAATGACCAGACTTCATCTTACCTAATTTTGTCATGTTATCAGAAGGAACCATTCCCTGGAGAAGGATGTCATGGTTGGTAAGGTGGAGGGTCGATGAAAGAGGGGAAGGCCCTCAATGAGATGGATTGACTCAGTGGCTGTGACGATGGGCTCAAGTATAGCAACGATCATGGAGCTGGCACAGGACCCGGTGGTGTTTTGTTCTGCTGTGCATAGGGTCACTGTGAGCCAGAGACAACTTGACGGCACCTAACAACAACAACCACAACAAACCACCCTGAAACTGAGTTGCTTGAAACAATAGCAATACCCCAAATTAATCTATGGATTCAACACAATCCCTATCAAAATCCCAACTGGCTTTTTTAAAAATAAAAGTTGACAAGCTGACCCTAAAATTTCATATATAAATTCAAAGGACTCAAACTAGCCAAAAAGAACTTGAAAAAGAAAAAACTTGGAAGGTAACACTTCCCAATTCAAAAGCTGCAGTAATCAAGACAATGGGGTACTGCCCTAAGGATAGATCAGTGGGATGGAATTGAGAGTCCCAGAATAAACCATTATGTTTACTGTCATTTGATTTTGGAGAAGAGTGCCAAAACAATTCAATGAAGAAACAAGAATCTTTAAACAAATGGTGCTGAGATAACTGAATATTTGCATATAAAGGAATGATGTTAGATCCTTACACCATGCACAAAAACTAAAATGTATCAAAAACATAAATGTAAAAGTTAAAATTACAAAACCCTTAGAAGAAAATGCAGGAGTAAATCTTCATGATGTTGGCTTAGGCAGTGGTTTAATACCAAAAGCACAAGGAACAAAAGAAAAATAATAATAAATTATCAAAATATAAAGGTTCCTAAAGTACCATCAAGAAAGTGAAAAGACAGCCCAGAGAACAGGAGAAAATATTTACAAATTATATATCTGGGGAGTTCCAGCAAGATGGCGGACTAGGCATAAGGACTGCACAGACCCTCTTCAACAAAGAAAAGGGAAACCAATTAACACAAACACAGAAGATAATCTTGGACCCCTGAGCCTTGAAGGGAAGGATACAAAAGTGGACTAAACCCCAACTAGCAGAAGAATTTGCATGAAAATACCAAAAAA